CAACTCATAACTCATTCCCAATGCTTCAAGATTTTTCCATGAATCGTCAGAACCCTCAAACACGACAGAATTAAGGTGATTTGTAATAAAAAGACATGATTTCACCTATTTTAACAGTATTTTTTGCCCCTCAAGTTACTTTAAAATTTATAGTGACACTCTGAGTGAGCCTTACTGAAATATTCAAACAAGATTGCATGTTTTTTATGGTTGGAAATATCATTTTGCTTCATTTTGAACACATTATACCTAAATGCAGCCTGACATACTTGATATATTAAAAATGTCTTGAATAAAATTTGATTGCATGATTTGAATATGTAAAGACTTTCAGATTTTTTGACATTTTTGAGTCTCCTTTCTCAAAAATCTACAGCTCTGGAGTTCAAACTGCATTAAAAGCTGCAAAATCCAGCACTGCACTGACATCTAGTGGAAACTCCAGAACATCGTGAATTGATCCACACCTGTGTTTGTTATTGCAGAAGTAGAATCATTTGGCTGCAACAGTGACCAATGGAAACAGAGCAACTGAAAGAACTCACATGAAGCCCATCACTGTGTGTCAAGGCAAAACAGTGATGTGTACTTCTGCAGTTGGCTCACATGCAGGAAACAAAACCTTTGTCATTTTATCTGTTACTGAGTCCTTTAAATGTTTTATTAAACCAGCAGTTCGATGAGATTATGTTTTGTTTTCTCAGATCAGATTGTGCAGATCAGCTTCAAACTTCTTTGTTAAAACCCTAACACGCTGACTAAGAGATACACTGTGCCTTTTTGCATGTGCCATATGCCCTTATGTACCTACAGTATATGTTAACACTTAAATTGAATGCAGTATTTTTGCAGTGTTTTGACCACCTCCTCTCCTGTGCAGCGCACAGTTGCAGAAAATAAATATTGTGGCCTCTACCTCGCAGTTTTTTTTCTCACAAGGACTACATAACAATACAAGGCCTCCCTAACATATGTCTCCATAATATTATGCAGCAGCTCCATGGTAACTGGGCAGGATTTGGCTCAGGCCTGGCCTCTCCCAGCCACAGATCCGATATGTGCCTCTGCATAAGTCTGGTATGCAACAATTACTCAAGCATGTGAAACTGTGCCGGGGTCCGGTCTCGCAGGCTACAGCTAACTGCTTGCAGGGCGAGAGCTTGTCTGTACATCAAGGGCCTTTAACTTGAATGTGAGGCCTCTCCCACTGGGTCCTGTCTCGTCTGATTAATATCATTATCTGGTTATGTCTTTATCCCTGCAGATGTCACCCTTTGCTTCTGGGTGCAACTCAAAAGGACAGAACAACAGGTTCTGGGTGGGCAATGGAAAAGTCTTGTGTGCACTTACGTGTGTGTGTGTGTGTCCGTGTGTGTGTGTGTGTGTGTGTGTGTGTGTGTGGTAGTCTGTGGTTTTGGCGAAAGCAACAATTCAGTCATGAATCACCACAAGTGAAAAATGCTGTGCCTATGCAGCCCAAAGCATTTAAAGACTAACCAGTGTCTTTGCATTATTTGGCTCATTTATCACAAACATTACATAGATTTTTTTAAATGTTTTAATGTTAAATTAGTTTTTATTCATTTATTTACAATATAAAACACTTGAAGACTCGACACTAGTTTGTGTTGGGTAGGTCATCAAACGGACATTATGTCAACATTTATTGCAGCAAACATGAATGTTTCACATGGTAATGCCATTCCCACGTCGGTTTAAACTCACAACTGCATTACAGCAAAATGATGCAACTCCGGCTTAACTGAAGGCAGATGTGACGGAGTGTCCTGTTGGTGCAGCGGCGGCAGATGTTTACCACGTAACCTCAGTGTTTACTTGCTTTACTGTACATGCACAACTTTTTTTTTTTTTTTTTTACTTTTTAAAGTCCTTTTAACAACAATTACAGACTTCACTCTTTTTTCATCTCATTGTCTACCTGGTTGTGTATTTGAATGCATATTTAAATGCATTTAAATACATACAACAGTCTCTGGTTAAAATGACTGCTGCTGATTTCTATTCATTTTGCTGTTTAATGTGATTTCTGTTGGTGTCAGTATTCAGAAAAAGCTTAGAAAGTAAAAAGTCACGTCACTCTGTCGGTGGACTTAGTGTTTTGTGTTTCAACAGGGACAACAGAATGGTGACACTTCTCTGGATAATGGATCAGATCATATCAATTTAAGTATCTCCCAGTTAAATTTTGATCCATGTCATGCTTACATTTTAATCTGGTGAGTTTAGAAGCTGTGGATCAGAAACTTTAGTATTTGGAGTAAGTGGTGGTAAAGTACAGTATAGGCTATGACTGGTAATTGGATGTGTAAGACGCAGTTAATTAGAATTATATATATTATGTTGCTCATCTTATTATGTTGGTTAGAAACGCGAAAATCTAATGACTAAATAGATACAAACAATGAAGGAAAGTGAACATTGTAATCAGTTATGTACATGTATGCATATGATTAATTCATATTTAATTTGACAGTAAAAATATAAATTAATACATTTAAAAAAAGATAATAATAATAATCATTAAGTGTGTCATTAATTTATATTTTAATGGGCACTAAAAAGGGGAATTATGCAAATAATTTACAAATGAAATATTAATCCATCAATAAATAATTCAAATTAAAAAGAGATTTGTGAAAACAGTCAATAAAGAGCATTATTGAGAAATACATTTATGAATTCCTAAATAAATAATGGCATTTCAAAATCAATTTGAAAGAGAAATAAATCACTGAATTCACAAACTGAATTAACAACACAGGTTTTAATCAAGCATTTCAAAAGGCAACTCCCTCTAATGCTCTGATGTTTCATGCTGCTTTTTGTTACAGCTTTTTTCCATTTGATTTGATGAGTGCTTCTTTTCAGAGTAATGCAGTTGGCCCAGTATCGGCAGCACACAGAGAAAGGGTTTTTGCAAGTATAGGAATCTAATCTTTGACAAACACACTGCTCTACCAATGGAGCAAGATCCTCTCAGATTAAAGAAGATGTTTTTTAGAGTGATACATGAGGCACTGCATCAGCGGAGACATAAGTGAAACACTGAGATGGTGGAAATGAAACTGAAGTTATAGTGCTATACAAAACAAAGTAAACTGAGAGTATATGGACTGTTTACAGTTCATCATGTAACCTCAAATTCCAAGTCTTGGCCAGAACTAGAAAATACAAGGACTCTTGTAGAAAGGCAAACATCCGTCCTGCACTACCAGGGAAGGAACAGACCATAAATGTGCAGCAACATCAGGTCAGATCTGCCCGACGCAGAGTGCACACTAGCAAGGCAGCAGGGCTAGATGGAGTCTAAGACCTGAGCAGGACTACACAGACCATCTGGTCTAGAATCATCTCTTACCAGGTGGTGATGGCGGCTGAGCAGGTCATCAGGACCATGTTACCACTCAGTGACATCTACACTGGCCTGGTGTGTGCAAGACAGCCAGTTGTATCATAAGAGACTCATCCCACCCTGGACATGTTTCCCGCCTGTTTCCCCTCTCCCCTCTGGAAGAAGATGCAGGACAATCAAATGCAAAACAAACAGACTAAAAAAAACAGCTTCTTACATAAGGCTGTCACCTCTGTAAGAAGGACTCCAGACAATGGGTTGCCTTTTCCCATATGCAGCACACAACCACTGGAAACACTCTGTTTGGTTTAGGTGAATGGTGGCGCCTGGGTAGAGTGTCCAGGAGAAATAATATAAACCTCATCAACACGCCCACTCGCAAACTGTGAATTGTCCAGATAGTGACCTGCTCTATTCGCATGTGGGCTCAATCGGGCAGTAGATGGACTTTACACCAGGGAGCTGGAGAGGATAAAGTCCATTTAATATCTGATTGCACCTGATTCGGACATTTGCATTCACACATACAACTCCTCCGGATAATGTTGTAGAAACGTCATGGTCATAATGTTGTAATGGTCATGATGTTACATTTGACCCCAGTGTATGTTACAACTAACCTGGACTATGAGGTGAATTGTAACATTTCACTCCTTGTGTGTGAGACTAAACCACAGACATGCTCTGTTTGTGTTGCAGAGATAACACCTATACCATTTAATAGTAGACACATGTAACTAGTTTGTATCACATTTTGAATGCAGTGGCTTAAAAGATACAGACAGAAATATCAAATATCAATGTATGTATCTATTTATATGTACAGAAACTTCCTCTTTGTTTTTTTTTTTACCTTTGGTTTAAAATTCTTTTGCCACATAATTTATGTATCACGGCTGTGAATTCCTTTTGTTTGTTTGTGTGCCTATGCATTGTCATACATATAGCCTGCTCTCCCTAAAACAGAACTCGGTGTGTGTGTGAGTGTGTGTGAAAGAGGAGGACAAACATCTGATAACACACACAAACCTCTTTTTGGATGATCCCTTTTCCATTAAGAATTGTGCTTCAAAGCATTCCTGCAGTTTTAAACCAAGTAAATCAGACTCCAAGACTGTTTCCCTCCAAATTCTGCACAAACTCTGACTGAGATCTTAGAAAACCTATTTCTCATATGAATAGCAACATTTCTTGAGTGTTCTGTGCATTTCAATGTTAGTATGGTTTGGTGTTTGAATGATTTCTCTGATGTTTACAATAGAAGTAATAATACATTGGCAGCAATCAAACGTTCAAAAAGAGAGTTATGTTGATAGTATAAAAGATTTAAATATGTTAAATATACCTATCCCAAGCAGTGACGATGTAGAATTCTGTCTGTAGAGTCTCTAAAAAAACAGAGAACTTGAATCACATGACTTAGTTTTGTATGTTTGTCATTGATTTATATATCATTTATTTTCTTATTTTTCTGTTTCTGTTATGTCTATTTTACACACGCAGACGCACACACACACACACACATACACACACACACACACACACACACACACACACACTGTTATTTTCCAAAATGTCAATAAAGTTGAGAAAAAAAAAACGTTTTACTGCGGAGGGATTCCTCTTCCGGTACACACGTTGTAGTCAGGAAGTGGATTGTTGACAGGTCAGCTCGGCTGGAGGTGGCTGTTGTTGTTAATTCCAATATCTGCGCATTATTAAATAATAACCGTCCTCAAACATGGCGGCCAGGAACCCAGGCATGAAGCTCGGTGAGTAACATTATTCCTGCCGCCGTTAAACTGTAGCTGTAGCTCAGTTCCTCATTAACACGTGTGGTCATCAACGTTTTGCTGTGACTTCACAACAACTTCTCGTTTTATTATGTAACGTTTAACGAATGAATTTATAGTATTTTGCCTCGCACTAATTGTCACTTCGCACAGTTTAATAGTAAAATAGAGCAACTAAGAAAGATACCGACCTTCAGCGTAGCCTTAACTCAGTTTAATAAGTAACGGTTCAGAGGTAACTGACCTATTGAACATAGAAATGTTGTTGTGTAACCCACTGTAACAAAACGTATTATTATCATGACGTAACAGTTTTAGAAACTATCACACAGACTGTGTTGGGTGAAAGTTACAAATCACATGTAGCATTATGTTACATACAGGCAACGTACTGTTAAATATGTTGTGATCATATGGCTGCCATGGGACAGCCAGAGCCCCTCATGACAGTCTAATTGTGAACTCATGACAGCCCACCTCTCCCTGCTCAGCTAACTAGTTAAACCCTACTGTACCATAGTTCAGTGTATAGTAAAACCAACATGCTCTGACACTGACGTGGTCAATGACATGGCAGCCATAATTATTTCTTTACACTGTAATTTGCCACCATTTCATGTCTATTTATATAGTTTAATTAGTTTAATTCATGTTTATTTAAATAGCACCATTCAGACACAAGGCAAAGTGCTTTACAGAGGCTTGGAAATACATTAAAAATAGAACATTAAAATGACATTACAATAGCACTTAAAACAATAAAAACCCAACTTGCATAAATAATAATAGAAATATTTAGATACGTAAGCTCAGGTAGGAAACTTAAGACACCATTTTAAAAGGGGTGCTGTTGTGATAAAGGTCTTTCACAACAAAAAAATGCACAAGATTGAAAAGAGGAACTAAAAGCAGCTCCAGCTTCTCCAATTTCTATGCACATATAAGTTGCAGAGGTGGACAAAGTCCACAGCTCCATGACTTAAGTCTAAGTATAGATCCTCCTGATCAAATATTTCTCCAATACAAGTGAACAAATTTTTACTTGACTTAAAGTACTGGAGTACTTGATTTTAAAAATACTGAAGTATTCAAAAGTACAATTTTTTATGTCAACTTATATTGTTCCATATTTACAGAACCTGATGACTCTGAAACAATGTACTGACTGACTGACTGACTGACTGACTGAGCTTGTAGAACATGATACAAAGCTGATAGAAATGGCCATAAACACAACTGAATCAACAAAAGGAACCATTGTCGTTCTTGTATATATTTATTTTTATTTAACATGCCACAACCCCCACAAAACAGCTTGGCAGTCTGTGTGTGTGTGTATCCATCAAACAGACAGTGGAATTGCTATAGATGCAGCTTTCACTTTTTGTCCTACGTCCCCTGTTGCAGACCTGGAGTGGATATCCAAAGTGAGAGTGAACACGCAGGCTGTCCTGAAGAGAGCTCAGCAAATCCAAGGTCAAAAGACCCCCAAGAAACAGTGGCAGGTAAGTCTTACCTTTCAGCTGCATCCTGCATGTGTTACACATACTGGGACATGATGACAAGAAGACCGTACCACTTTAACAGTTAATTACTATATGTATTTATACATCTCCATCTGTATGCATTTGTATATTAATGCTTGATTATTTGTATTTGTACATTTATTGAAAATGAATGATAACAGATAATTAAGAGTGGGTGATAAGAGTAAAATCTTTTATCATATTACATTTAATTTCATAATGCAGTAGTAATGTATATTGTGATGTAAAAGGCTTTTTGGAAAATCAATTAAGAAACTATTATGCAAATGGCTACTTTGGCTGATCCAGAAAATTAAAGGTCCATATAGTCTAAAGGTAGACGTCCATGTGTTGTTCAACGCCATCAGCCATGCCCCAAGCCCCGCCCACCTGCACCCACCATCCAACCTTGTAGAATTGGGTTTCTCTGAATCTGCTATATTTCTATTTGATCACTCAAAAAACAGCCAATCAGAAAAGAGGCGTATCTGAGCAGTGGGAATTAATGGTGATGATGGAATCAAGCTAAAGCTATTTCCTCTGTTGTTTCTATGTGTTTGTCCTGCAGGCTGCCTGGCTGCTGAAGGCTGTCACATGCATCGACCTGACAACTCTGGCTGGAGATGACACACCATCCAACGTCCATCGGCTGTGTCTGAAAGCCATCCAGCCAGTCAGATACGACCTGCTCAGGAAGATGGATATGCACGACAAAGGTCTGCTTCTGCTACCACCACAAACACCACATATAAACCAGTTACAGTTTGAGCCCTTTTTTAAAAAGGTGTCGCTACTAACATTGAAACATAAAGCATGCGTTTTACTCCAAATCCTGTCTCAGTTTTCCTGTCTGTTGAGGATCTGGTTTTAGCTCCATAGATATGCAAAGATTCTCTCATCCTTTCTTACAGCCTCACCAATTCAGAGAAGTCTTTCACAGAGACCTCTGCACAAAAACCCCAGAAAAACAGTTGCTACTAACAACTCTGATGCAAACTACAATGTTCACTTTTGTTTTGATTAATCATCTGATCATTTTCTTGATTAATTGATTCATTAGTTGGTCTATAAGACATCAGAAAATAGTAAAAAAAAAAAATGCTGAGCTCAGTTCCACAAGCCCAAGTTGACGTCTTTAAATGAAGTTCAAGTTCAGGTTGTTCTTCAGTCATTTTCACATGTACTCCCCAACACTCTATGTAGAGTATAATAATTGTCACTACCCATTCGGACACGGTCCAGGACCCAGTGGCAGTAGGAGGTGTTTAGGCCTAGATGTGTCTGCTTCACAGTCACGTGTTGTGGGATGATTGTGTTGAAGGCTGAATTAAAGTCAGTGAGCAGAAACACTCTTTCTCTCCAGGTGGGACCGGGCTGGGTGGAGGGCCAGTGGAGCTTAGAGCAAACTGGAAGGGGTCGGGTGTGATGGGGAGGCTGGACTTAATGTTCTATAGAACCGGCCTCTTGATTCACTTCATGATGATAGGTGTGAGTGCTGCAGGGTGGTTATCATTCAGACAGGGCACAGGAGACTTGTCAGGCTTTTGACTAATGGTTTCAGCTCTACATAAAAACAGGTTTATTTGAACTATGGTTTTAAAGTCACAGTTTTGTCCATCATTTTTCTTTAATAGTAACATTGTTGTCATCAAGTTAAAAGCAAAGATCTGGGAACATGATGATGTCCTTGACTGCCTGTTCAGACCAGAATAACCTGCAGAGGGCGACACAGACCACTTCATCACCGTGTTTCTTGACTGCTCTGCTGTCTGTGTTGTGTTGTGTTTCAGGAATAACTACAGCGGCAGTGTGTGTGTATCCGTCCCGTGTGGCTGATGCTGTGAAGTCGTTAAAAGCGGCCAACTCCAGCCTCCCTGTGGCCTCAGGTAAGTCACCTGAAACTGAACCAGAACTGTGTGATTCACGTAGAGTAACCGGTTACTGCAGGTGAGAAATGAACGGTGAGCTGAAAGTGTGTGTGACTGCGTGCGTTCTTCCTCCTCCCCCAGTGGCCACTGGTTTCCCAGCTGGCCAGACACCACTGGAAACTCGCCTGCAGGAAGTCCGCATGGCAGTGGCCGACGGTGCCACAGAGATCGACATCGTCATCAACAGGACGCTCGCCCTGACAGGACAGTGGGAAGGTACGCTGTGATCACATGATGAGCTTTAGCACAGGTCAGTAACTGAGGCCTGTGACCTGTAGGTCAACAAGAAAACATCTGCTTTGAGTTTAAATTATCAGTTAAATTTTTTTGTCAAGAGCCAGAAGATTAAAAAAAAAAAAGTACTTTTTGATTGATTTGGATTTGGAATTTCTGACATCACTACAGAAGAAAATGAAAGGTGACAAAAAAGTGTCTGCTTTTGGTGGAGCAGAAATAGTTTTTCCTGGGGACCTTTGTTTTCTTAAGTTATTTCTTTGGGCATTTTTGCCTTTGTTGTAGCTGCAGTGAGAGAGAGATAGGAAAGCTGGGGAAAGAGAGAGAGAGAGAGAGAGAGGGGGGATGACATGCAGCAAAGTGCCTCGGGTCGGACTCGAACCTGGGCCACTGTGGTAAGAACTGAGCCTTCATGGTATGCGCTCCACCAGATGAGTCCTTTTCCTGGGGACTTTTGACCGTCACATGGTCTTTGTTGGCAGATGGAGCTCTCCAGTTGTCATGGAGATGCAGATGTTCAATTTTTTTGTTGTTTTAATGCCTCTGTGCCGGTGATAGCCAGAGCCGGAGGCTTTATGTTTTCGGGCTGTCTGTCCATCCGTCCGTCCTTGTGAATGTGATATCTCAGTGAGGCCTTGAGGGAACTTCTTCAAATTTGACACAAATGTCCACTTGGACTCAAGGATCAACTGATTAGATTTTGGTGGTCAAAGGTCATGGTCATGGTCACCTCACGAAACACTGTTTTGGCCTTATGAACACGATATTTCAAGACCACCTTGAGGAACTTTGTTTAGATTTTGCACAAACATTCTCTTGGACTCAAAGATGAACTGATTAGATTTTGGTGGTCAAAGGTCAAAGGTCACTGTGACATCAAAAAACATGTTGTTGGCCATAACTCATGAATTCATTCACTAATTATGACAAAATGTAACTCAAATGTCTATAAGATATAAAATGAAGTGATGACATTTTATATCCAAATGGTCAAAGGTCAACTTTTTTCCTGTAACTTGGCTGGTTGGTGGAGGAAACTCTATTTGTTATTAACATGACAACTGCTTCTTACTATGAAGCAAAAAACATTTTTCTTATGTCAGGGCTTAATTAGCAAATATTGAGTGGCTCAAACTATGTTTTGTGTCCACAGTGTAGCTGTAGTCGATGCTAAAGAACAGATACTGATGTGGTCATTGGTTACACATTGTATCCACAGGCGTAGGACTGTCGCTATTGGGTTCAAACCAGTGCCCAGTCATGAAGAGTGGGGCCTGCAGCTTAGTGCGCTACACTTATACTTGTAAAATCTGGGGTTATGAAGTGTTGTATTTTGTATAGGCTTCGCCCTCTTAGAGCTGTCGATATTGAGATAAGAGCAAAGTTTGATGTGGTCAATGCCCCACTGGACCACCAGAGTGGTCACATCAGTTAACAAGCACCATACCTTCCATGTAATAAAATCAAAAATTTCATTAAAGCCACAACCCTCTGCTGCACTAAGACCTGTCTGAATAATCCAGGGCAATAACGCTCTCCATGCTCATGCTGCTGTGAGGAAGCAGCTGGTGATTATTACTGTAAAACACGGTAGAAGTCCCAAGTTCGAGCAGAGCAGGAGCGAGAGGGAAGAACACTAGCAGGGGCTTGATGTGTGCAACTGGAAGATATCACATGGCAGGTGGGTGGTAGAGTAAGACTTACACAAACACAGCAAACTTATGCCGGGAGAGCAGACAGAGACAATTGTTGAATACTGTAACAAACCAGAAGCTCCTACATGAGAGCCAAATGTCTGACAGTGTGCACATACATACAGTATTAACCTCTCTATGGCAAATGTCACTCAATCCCCTGTGAGTTAAGGGAAAACTCAGACATGTCACATACTGTTGGCAGAAATGGATACAGGGAGAAGGGGAAGCCCGTGATGCCGCTGCAGAGATATCATCTACTGTCACTCTGCTGAACGGAGCTGCGGAGGAGGACGAGGCTCTCATAGAATGAGCACGGATACCATGTGGGTGGTCCTTCCTCGCACAACCAATGAGACAGCTGCTGTTTTGTCAGAGGCTTCCCTTGGGAATTATCTCTATAGTGCACAAGCAGCTGTTGGGTCTGTCTGAAGGCTGCTGTGTGCGTCATATAATGAGACAGTGCATGCACTGAACAGAGGCAATGAGACTCCTCCTCTCCATCTCATTTCTTTGAGGAGGGGGGAAATCAATCCCATAATTTTGAATAATGAGGCAAGATGGAGAGACAGACAGCACATACTGTACACAACACAACTGAGTACACCCCTGTGCAATATCACTAAAACAGTAATTGTGTTATTTTAAAGACCCCCTCTGGGTTAAATAAACCTGAAGCCTTGTCAGTACAGAGAGAGAGAGTTGGCATTAGCACAACCACTAACACTGTGTCAGCCACTGCCAGTTACAAGTTAATAAACAACATAAACAAATAAAAGATGCTAACTATGCTAACCGTTCTGATCCAACTGTTAGTCTCTGATTCTGGTCTCAACAGACTCCTCATCTGAGTCTGGGTCTGACTGAGGCTCAAACATGTTTCCTTCTCTGACCATCTTCATACTCTCTGCTCTTTCACCTGTCCACCTGGAGCAAGCAGGTGGTGGGCGGGGCATTAGGCATGATCCAGATTTCTCAATCAGGAAGTAAGAGGAGATGAGCTTAAAAAAAAAAAAAAAAAAAAACATGTCTGGAGAGGAACTTTAAGTTGAAGTGTCGGGTTTTTGATCTTATGTATCATTACAAACAAACGGGTCGGAAAGACTTGAAAAATAGACCCATAGTACAATGGGCCACTGGAACAAAAGTCAGTTTACTTGTAACCACTGTGTCAAATGTAAAACAGATGAGTAAGTGCTTTTGACTTGGCACAAAGATTATCCATGGAAACCAACATTTCAGTGACTGATGAGATGGTGAGAAGGACTGCATGAAGTCAACCTCTATGGACGGCATTAGGGCTGAACAATTTGGGAAAATAATATAATTGTGATTTTTTTTTTTACCAATATTGCCATTTAATATGCATATATTATTTTTGAATTACGTTCATTTGGAGTTATGCTTTCAAACATTTCGGTCAGTGATCCTTTTTTTTTATCCATGCAACTATCGTACATGGCTTTGTTGTGCTGATACAGGTTAGCGGTGTTGCCCCGTGAGGGAGCAATGGTAGCAAGGCAGGTTCTGCACAATACCTGACGCTGAGCAGCATCTTCTTTTTTAAAGCCAAAATAGTTCCACACAACCGACGTGCTGCTCCTCGTTGACACTAAAGTTTCTGCAGTGCCAGGTTCTGTCGAGACTGAGGCCATTATACAACAGGTCAAAGTGTAGCGTGCCAAGTTGTTGCTCCCTCTTTTAGCCGACTGCTCTACTCTCGCTTGCATGTCACGTGACCAGAGTGTAATCGCAGCCTTTGAGGTTAGAAAATCGTGTTTTATCATATTGCGATATTACCGCAAAAGCGATTAATCTTTCAGCCCTAGACAGCATCCAAGAAAAAAAAGATTAAACTTTGACAAAGAAGATGAAAAAAGTCTGATGAATGTTGGCAGTACATTCTTTGTTCAGATGAAACCAAAATCATCCGGCATGTTTGCTGCGGACCTGGTCAGGATAACCACAGTGACTGTATAGTGCTTATCATGAAACGTGGAGGTGGGAGTTATATGGGACTGCATAAGAGCAAAAGGTGTAGGGAGATGACATTTATAGATGGCACTATGGATGTGAGCTCATGTATATAACACAGAATGAAAAGATGACTCCCAGTCTCAAGAAGCTTGACAGGAGAGGATTTTTCCAACACTGATCACAAACACTGCAAAAATCACAGAAGAGTTTGTGATGAAAAAAAAAAGTTTTCTTCTGACTTGAATCCGATAGAACACCTTCAGATTATTTTAAAGTAGAAGATAGAGCAACAAAACCCCTCCAGCAAAGAGCAGCTGAAGAGAATCATCTGTGAGGAAGTAGAACATCTCTCCACAGATTTGTGCAAGACTGGTATCATCCAAGCCCAGGAGGATCGAATCTAACATCAGAAACAACGGTAGACATACAAAATATTAAAAAATAATAATAATAAAAAGAGTGGAAATAATCTTGGTTGGGGCCAAGAGAGGTTGCATTTTTGGCTTGAAAGGGGAGTTGCCTGGTGGGTAAAACAAAGGGTAATTTCTACTGCGTCATTGAGCGAAACACAGGTTGCTGTTTTCTTACTCCTTTCAAGAAGCGTTTAATCGGTGGATGCCCAAAGACATTTCTCTACATAAATGTTCCCATTCAGGGGCTAAGCCCATAGGCACTCGCTGATTTCCCGAAAAATGCCGGATTGAATAAAATTGGGAGCACTTCTGCGCACAATGGAAATTGCTATTTTGCCTAACAATAACTGCATCATTGTGGAGAACCATGTATGTCAGTAAAAACATCATTTGCAAAATCTGAATCATGCCATGAAGAGAAACCACCACTAACGCGCACAAACGGGTGAGAAGTGGGGAGGCCACAGAGAGGCGGGGGGTGTGCGGACGCGCTGTTGTGTTCACTTGAGATGAAAAATCTGTTTCGCTTGTGGCAATGTGGGAGTGAGAAGAGCCTGACTCAACAGCTGTGAGTGTAGAGGAGTCAACATGTGTAGGGGAAACGTACGTTAACAGAAAGAACTGTGAACCACTCAGAGGAGAGGAAAGCAGCGAAGAAGTGATTGTTCACAAAATTGCTCTTTTTTGAAAAGTGGCTGGCTCTTCAACGAGCTGCTGTGCATGGCAATCACGCATCCACCACATCTCATCATCATTGCCGCCTCTGCTTGCGGGGCGATTCGACAGGCAGGTTTGCCCTGGTGCAGGCGGGGTGTCGACTCTTAGCGACGGGGTGTCGTGGAGCAGGCTGAGGACCCACTGCTGGAGGAGACGGGAGGAAGAGAAGGGTGCAGCTGAGACGTAGTTCTGTAATGACTTCTCCCTGTCTCCTCCTTCAGACGCCTGCTGGAGGTGTGTGACTGCTTCCTGGGAGAGTTGTCCAAAGAGGGGCTGAGGGGCTGAGGGGCTGAGGGGCTGAGGGGCTGATGGGCCTGTGCTGATGACCTTTGCTGGGACATATGAAACCACAACCCCCCAGCATGTGCAGTGGGAAAACCCAACAGCGACAGAACTTGACAGTTTTTTGTGTGTTTCTCAACTGATCACGACTAAACTATAGTTTTATTTTTACTGTATTGAAACTTCCCGAATGTTTTAGGAAATAAAGTAGGTTCATTAACTGTATCCCGTCTCCCTCTACAGCCATGTACGATGAGATCCGTCAGTTTCGGGAGGCCTGTGGTGATGCCCACATGAAAACCATCCTGGCTATTGGAGAGCTAGGCACCTTCACCAACGTCTACAAGGCCAGCATGGTCGCCATGATGGCTGGTCAGTCTCACCATAACCTACTCTGACATCTTTCAGTGTGTCTTAGTCATAGTCACACTTTATGTCTCCTGTTAAATTTACATTTAAAGGAGCTATTTGAGAGTTTTGCTATCTCTAAATCACTAGCGTTAGCATTACCAACTGTTTACTTACCAGTTTGGAAGAAAAATTACAAGTTCTGCATCAAATTTGATTCCCTTACTCACCAAGAGCTGTCTCCAGAGGTGGTAAGCAAACCTCTTGTTTTACTTTTAATTCCATCGCTTCTTTTCATCTATTGAAGTTAGCATGCTAACCAGCTAGCCCGTCTTGTCACTTTCCAATAGCGAGTAACTGTAGGGTCCAGTGCCATGAAGAAGTAGCACTGTTCAGAAAGTGTATTACAGTATATCCTCTTGTATTGTAAACACAACAATGGCTGAAGCAGCTGTTGATGCTAACATTGGCTATGTAGCGATAGCAAAACTTACAGATAGCTTCTTTAAAGGAATTAGTTGACAGTTGACATTTCAACAAAAAGGCTTATTCTGTTTCTTCCTAAATGAGAAACTTATCATCAGTCTGTCTGTTTGTACCGGCGGATACATCACACAAAAAAAGCCAAACATGTTTCCACAGAGTACTGTAAAAGAGCAAATCACATAGGGGTTGTGTGTGAGTATAATTTTGTTAACGAAATGCAAACACATGGCGACACCCTGTAGATGTGTCGGTGGGTGTGTTAGAGCAGAAAGCAGCTGGTCTTTATCTTATAGTAAGTTCAAGTCTTTAAATAGTCACTTGAAAATAGTCATAAAGAAAAGTGGACTTTCTTGGATTGTCCTACATGCAGGCTGAAAAACCACGGCAGTAGACTGACAGTAACAACCTTAACCACTGCAGCAGATTGTTGTGAGTGTGTATGAATATTCCACATGTTCAGGTTTAACTAGAGCAGTAGCTCCTGTCAGACAAACATCTGTTAAATAATACAACACATTGTCTACTGCCTTCGTGAAATCCATTAAGCATAATCATGACAAATTTTAAAGCTTAGGCTTGTTATTCTTATGCAGACAGAATTAGAATTGGTTTAATAAGCTACTTAAAGAATGAGATACTAACGTTCTGTCTACAGAGGAGGCGTTTCAGCCGTGATTTTCAGCTGTCCATCTCATGTGTCTGACAGAACAGATAAGTTGTATTTTAATCAGTCAAGCTGTCCACCCAGGCTGCATAACGACTCGTGTTTTAATCATGCGATTCAACACAATAATTACAGTAACTGCATTAGGCTCCGAATGCTGTAAAACACAGATGTAGGATGCGAGCTGCTGCTGCTCTGCTCACGCTACACCTCCTGTATAGACACGGTGCACGGTGTGGTATATATAGTTCCTTGTTCTCTCCGATGGAACAGGTGTTTGACCTCAGTCTCCTGAAGGACAACCCACAACTCGCTTGTGATGTCATTGGTCTGATTGTCATGAGGCGCTAAAGAGGTTTTTAACAGTCTGAAGTCTAAGTCAGTGAAAGGTGAAGTCTTGGTGTAATTCCTGTTGTCATCCAGCTCGTGGCGCTGCTGCTTAACGTTTCCTCTTGCCTTTTGTAAAGGCGAACCTGATGAGAAGAGCTCTCCTTCTCTCACGCACGCACGCACACACACACACACACACACACACACACACACACACACACACACACACACACACACACACACACACACACACAGTATGCTTAACTAGCCATCACATAATAAGCCGATTACAGAACCAAATTGTCAGGGGCTCTGATAGAGATCATTATTAAAATGCATTGCTTTTGTCGCCACACTCGCTCCTTAATCTCCCCTTGTTCCTATGAATTGCGTATGAGATTCCTGAAATTGAATGATAATTTCACCTATTAATCTCTGATGCAGGCTATTTTACTCTGCCGTTCCCCGCCAGTATCCCCCTGCCCATGCAAATGAATAGAGCTTCATTACCGCCACCCGCATTTAATAACCGTTATCCATTATCTGGTAATTAAGACTCCCCATAACGAATCTTAAGGATTATGCCAGTTTGAGGAAGAGGGGAGAGAGGCTGAAAAAAAGACCTGACTGGAAGAATACATAGAACATGTCTTTAATGAACTGGAAAATGTTCATCTTGTTCTGTTCAGTAATGAACAGTCATTATACACCAGGGAGGCAGAAGGGGTGATTTTTTTTTTTTCTTTCCTGCAGCCCGCAGTTTGTGGGTAATCTATTAAAGAGCATCATTTCATCTTCTATTTTTATCAGGAAAGCTGATAAAACATAATTGGCTGTGAAGAAAGGGAAGGAAAAATTAAGGATTTTATTGATGAGCATGCAGCTGCCCTCTGTTAGCCATCAGCAGCAGCATATGTTCTTGTCTGGCCCGGCCAGACTATCAGAGTAATGCCCTGTCCGTCCTCTGTCTGCACCCTCACACGGACACCGTGGTGCTGACTCTGCTCCCCGACTTCAGCAGCTCGTCACATGTGAAATCTTCATGCACGGGTTTGAATGTGGAACGGCTAAATAGAAAACATACTGACAGATGGATGATAAGTGCAACATGACAATATCTGCAGGACTGTGTCACATGCTCCACTACATGTCACCTGTTCAAACCCAACAGGTTCGGACTTCATCAAGACGTCCACAGGAAAGGAAGCTGTCAACGCTACTTACCCAGTTGCCATAGTGATGGTGAGAGCCATCCGTGACTACCTCTTGTGTACAGGCCACAAGGTACAGTACTTAACTCCTGCCTTTCTGTGGGGCGTGAATATTTCCTGGTTAATGAGAAAGAGGGGAAAATGGGGCGCACACTGTAGATCAGCTGCATGGAAGTTGTCATCTTTACTAGTGTGTTGTCTAATATATTAGTTCCATTTCGTAACCAGCCATGGGATTTTAAAGGCCAGGAACTTATAAATCTGCTCAGTGAACAGAGGCACCGATGTCTGTGGAGATCAAGAGCAAAAATCTACACAAACCTTAAAACAAGGACCTCAAATTTACTGAACCCTGGGGCAGTATACACACATTGTTCTTATTGTAAGTGTCTCATGCAAACTTCCATAATGAGCTATAGATGTGGCCTATGGATGGGACAATAATTGAATTACATTCTAGTTGTTTACTCTCCACACTGCAGACTAGACACTGGCAGTGACTGTGACAGAAGGTGGATTAAAACAGACAGAGAAAGAGTCAACACAAGTTCTTCCTCCATCAAAAAGGAAAGGCTGATATATGTTGATACTTCAGATCAGCAGCCGAAGACAAAGACAAGACCAAGAAAACTAGCATCTAGCATCAACTAGCAATTGGAGAACTTCACTCTATTAGCTAACTGTCTAGCTTTGAAAAGGAGAACTCATTGCGATGACTGTATACATATTACTTTCCTAACATGGAAATAACCTTATTTAACCTGCTATATTTTAATGATCCTGTAATGTTGGCATTGTAACCTAACCAACTGCATTGTTGTGTCAGATGTATTGAGTGATGCTTGATATGCTGGGAAGAAAAGTCCTCCAAAGACCACGCTGTTACAGTTAAATACGCCCAGCCCGGCTGCATCCATGGAGATTTACATGTTACCATGTTATTTAAAAAAAAAAAAAAAAAAAAAGTTTTTACATTTTGCTTTTTTAAAAACAATATCTTCATTCCCTGATTCTACTTCTGAGTGATCCCATAGAAATATAGCAGATTTCAGGAAAACACTCAGAGAAACCAAATCCTGCAAGGTTGGATGGTGGATCCGGGTGGGTGGGGCTTAGGACATAGCAATGACTGCTTTGCTGTGACATCACAAAGTTACAGAAGTCCTAACGGCTGGTTCTAAGGCTCAGTTTCTGAATACAGGCTGTGTGCATTTCTGTGGACTGAGGCTATATATATAGAACCTAGACCTGATCTATAATCAAACAACACATGGACATCTGCCTTTTATACTATATGGACCTTGAAAGCAATTAAACCCTTAAAGTGTAATCATGCTTTAAAGGTGCACTATGTATTCCTGCATGACGTCACTTCTTTTGATGTTAGAAGTAAATACCAAACAAAACAGAGCAAGCTCGCCCCTCCCCCCCGTGTTTGCATCGGACTGGAAGCCCTTGTTTGCCGTTTGTGACGCCTGTGTTGTCTCCAGAGACCGCGCTTTTCACAGTGTATTCAGGGGGCAGGCAGCTAGCAGGTCAAGGGGAGATGCCTATGATTTGAGACAAACATAAAATTGCGCAGAAACCATGCAGGAATGCATAGTGCACCTTTAAGTGAAATGTGTGTCCTGTTAACAGAAGTGTGTGTTTCCTCAGGTGGGCTTTAAGCCGGCAGGGGGGATCCGAACAGCTCAGGAGTCTCTGGTGTGGCTCACCCTGATCAAAGAGGAGCTGGGAAATGATTGGCTCTGTCCTCACCTGTTCCGCCTGGGAGCCAGTAGCCTATTGGCTGATATTGAGAGACAGGTGAGGACTCATCACACACACACTACTTTCTCTATATCTTACTTTTCTGCATTAAACGTTCTATCTGACTCTATCTATTTTTATCTAAAATTACTTTAAAGTAAAAGATGAACAACTGAACTTAAACCAAGTACAGAAAAATAAAGTATCAACAGAAATTGACAGAAAGGTTTTTTAATTTTCTAGTTAATTTTTACACTGTTTTTAATTTTAACTGTCACATTTGCTCTTGTTCGTACAGATCTATCATCACGTGACTGGACAGTATGCAGCCTATCATGAGCTGCCTATGGCCTGAAGCTGTGGACTTCCTCTTTTAATGACCAATCAAAACCTCATATTCACCACACAAGCCTGTCAGTGATTGTCCAGGCAGCACACTGACTCTTTCATTCTGATAAAACAATTTAAACAAAAGTCTTAAATTTGTAACTCTGGCACTTGCTGAAAATAAAAGATAATATAAGTGGAAAGATAAGTGGCTCCTGTTCTTTCTGCCTTTGTTCATCCAAATCTAAGAACAATTTGACAAACTGGAGTGTTTAGAGATTGCACAAATGGTTTATTTTTTTCATGCACAGCGACCCTGGAAAGAAGAGAGATGTACTGAGAGCCAAAGAGCTTCCATCACATCCATGAACTCTCCTGTTCACGCTGCCTGTGTGATTTTGCATATGCTTGTCAAGTCTCCGATCTATCCCAGCAATGTGCGCTGAATCTGTTATTGAGGCTTCCTTTGCTCTTAATTTCATAAGCAGGAAGCGCGGCCAACTGAAGAGCGCTGGGGATTAATCAGGGGTTAAGTGAGTTTAAAAGATCTGATTGAACAGCTCACAAATTTGAGGCTTCATTTGAAGACAGAAAACTTTCTTCTTCCTCTCCTCTTTAATTAAAATATCACAGGCCTTGACCTTGACTGGAACAGAGGATAAATGAGTAAATTAATTGTGGAAGGAAGGGGATGTGAGCTTTTGGGGAAAAAATGTGGGATTAGATGAAAAACTCATGGGAGAAGGTTGGCTTCAGGGCGCTGGTGGGAATGGGGCCATGCTCAGTTAGGAATTGTAGGTGGTTGTTTGACGAGGTAACGTACAGAACTTTGAAGGATGTTCTGCAGAGGTGTGGTCAGTAAGACTCTGTGTCTACACTGATTATCGAACAAATATCCCAAAGCTTTGTAATGAATTTCCAACAAAGAACATTTTGTCTGCATTGTTTCGCTGTACATTCAACACTTTGACCTGTAGCTATAAAAATCAGACAAGTTGCTCTGGACCAGATTTTCTGTGGATATTTATAACCACTAAAGCAGTGGTCGTTTAAAAACAGTTATCTGCAAAATCACTACCTTTTTAGTGATTTTTGCCTACATAGTAAAAGCGCAAGAAAGTTCGTTTTTTGCAGCAATGCTTTATTTCGAGCTATTGAGAGCTTTTATTCTGAAAAGTTCTGACTGAAGTTGAAAAGATTCTTTTGGTCACTTGACAGACCTCTGAAATAGCTGAGACATGATGTGTGGTTTGAAAAAAATAACCCCTGTTCAGTAAATCAGTCAAACCTATGTGTGACTGTGAGCCACAGCGCCACATGTGAACAGTAGCAAAGCAAAGTCCAGTTGGATTTTTATAAATTGAAGTTAAATTATCCTTTGATTATGTTCTGACTGTCATCTAATGGATGAGAAAAACACTGGACTGACTGTTTCCTGATTGATCCAATAAAACTATTAGCAGATTTCAGGTTAACACTTAGAGAAACCAAATCCTGCAAGGTTGGATGGTAGGTCCAGGTGGGCGGGGTTTAGGGCGTGGCTCAGAGCAGTGACTACTTTGTTGTGACATCACAAAGTTACAGAAGTCCTGACCGCTGGTTTTAAGGCTCAGTTTCTGAATACAGGCTGTGTGCATTTCTCTGTGGACTGAGGCTTTGATACTTTCACAGTATTAATATAGAACCTAGACCTGCTTTATAATCAAACTACACATGGACATCTACCTTTAGACTACATAGCACCTTTAACTACTATTTTCTGTTTGTGAATGGTAAATGAGTTCACTTGTAAAGCACCTTTCTAGTCTTATCGACCACTCAAAGTGCCTTACAATACAAGCCACATTCACTCATTCACTGTATATTTATACACCACCCCCATACACACACTCATACACTGATGGAAGAGCCATCAGGGGCAATTTGAGGTTCTGATATTATTTGGGGGTTCATAACTGTTGAAACAGTGATTTAAACGATGATTTAAATATGGAACTGTGGTCACTAAAAACTGATGAAAACGGTGACGTGGTTGCAAGCTGTGGAAAAAGAAGAAATTTCCATGTTAAAAAAAAAGAACTTTCATGCTCAGGATTCAGTTGTAACAAAGCAGAATCATCCTGTAAGAAGCCCTGTATCGTTGCTGTGTGCTGCTTTATATTGCTGCTCCTATAGCTGAACGCAGGGCTGTGGCCTTCTTAATTTGCACTGCTGGAACTTTTCCCAATTCTACTTTCAGTGCAGGTGTTGGATGTAATTCACATCTGGAAACTGCACAAACGTTTGACCTGTGCGATTTATTCAGATTGAAACCGTTTATGGTCGCATCTCTGATGTTTAAAAATGATGTCAACTGTTCAACAACTTTGCAGCAAAATAGTTTTTTTCTTTTTGTTTCCTCCTGGGAGATAAAAAAAAAAAAAAAAAACTCCCCCTGTGTTTGCGGTGTGTGAATGGAAATGATGGAGTGAGCTTCTGTGGTCTGCTCTTGATGGATTAGTCCCACTTACGTAAAGGCATGTAGATCATCTCAAATCTGGACCATCGGTCAGCTTGCTGCCACTTGACAAGACAGAGGCACGGAGGCTGGAACTTGATTCTGCTTGATTGATTCTCTGGGCCATCCATAAAGATCACACACACACACACACACACACACACACACACACACAAACACACAGCTGAGCAGAGAAGTAGACTGCTGTAGGATTAAAAGTTTAGTAGGTATGTCATCTGACGAAGACCTCAGGTTTGGTGCTCAGAGGTTGACTGAGATTTTTTTTTTTTTCATGGGTGTGAATTTGTTGAGGAAACCTATTCTGAAGGGAACTGGTACCTGAACACCTGCATGTGCACACTGGACGGCAGGATGAAAAGCTTACCACCATAACCTCATCCTGGCTGCATCTCACTGGGTCACCGGGTTCTCAGTCTCTTTCTATTTTTCAATGTCATGAATCGTACGTTTTCTCAGACATTTATGCTGTTTCACTGGGTTGTAGATACAGAAAGTCTCAGAAATTGTCGTACAAAGAATAAATAAGAAGTTACTGTTAGACAATCCAGTAATATTTGGTTTCAGTCATTAAAAAGCTACAAAAGTGTTCAATGACTTGAACATTAAAAAGTTTCCAGAGAGCAGATATTTATCAGTTTCAATACAAAGGCTTAAACTGTTAAAGAATATGGCCCAGAGACCACAGTAAAGAATACATTGATCAAACTAACCAGCCACAGCCTGAAAACCACTATTATTTTGTGCTGCTATCTTAAAGGTCTTAAAGGAAGATGTCCATGTGTTGTTTGATTATAAAGCAGGTCTAGGTTCTATATTAATACTGTGAAAGTATCAAAGCCTCAGTCCACAGAGAAATGCACACAGCCTGTATTCAGACACTGAGCCTTAAAACCACCTGTCAGGACATATGGAACTTTGTGATGTCACAACAAAGTAGTCACTGTTCTCAGTCATGCCCCAGGCCTCACCCACCTGGACCCACCATCCAACCTTGCAGGATTTGGTTTCCGAGTGTTTTTATCTGAAATCTGATATTCACTCAGAAAACAGTCAGCCAATCAGAAGAGAGGCTTAGAGCCTCATAATACTAATATGAGATATGAGTCAGCTCATTATTATGAAATGTTAACCACTTAGACTATGTCACTGGCGCTGTAATTACTTAGACTTAAGGAACTGGTTTCTCATGACTGACAAAAACGACGTGGACTTGTAAAAAGGCATGCTGAAGTAAATGATGCTTCAATAAACAGGATGTTATTTTTTAAAATTGCTATTACCCAACAAAAAGCTTATTTTTTTTATTTTCTTATACTTTTTATTTTTATTTTGGAACAACACTTTCTTACAATATACCACAAAGGTTTCATGGAGAAAACTGACACAATTTTTCTAGTTAAGATTTGACCAAACATGAATTTCCTGACCTTACAGTGGCCACACGGGCGAGGAGCTGCTGCAAGTGGCTTGCTGGACAAGCATGAGGTGGGTGTTTGATGTGAATTGCACAGTGTGTTATTTGAAAGTGTGCAGATCTGTTCACTCTCTCTGAGGCTCCCAGTGGTTTGGATGAACACCCAGAAGCAAGCAGCAGCAGCCAGGGCTGAATTTGTCACAGGCGGCGATCCAGTCGCTCATACCTGACAAATCGGCTCGCTCAGATTGATTGGTTTCCTGTTGTTTAATTCATCAGTGTTTCTTTAGCCTGAAGCAGGTGTGAAAAAATAACACTTTGTGAGCCACCAGCACCTCACACATAGTTTATGATGAAGAAAAAATGGCCGGGCGGGGGACAGTGTCAGTAATGGCCTGACTATCCATTATCAGCCACAGCTCTGATTTGTCATGCTATTTGTGGCTGCACAAGACACACCATGTACATGCTTTTATTAATATCCCAAGATACAGCGCTGCTATTGGCCTTCATGCCTGATTTGTTAAAGAAGTGCTCGACATATTTCTATCTTTTTTCATTTTCCCACTGCATCAGCATCAGTAGATATGTAAATCAATATCCCATTCGAGTCATTCCACTTTAAAATATTCTTCTCATATGAAATGTTTGAATCAGCCACCAGACATAAATCAACTTCACAAGTGTTTAAAAGTTTTAACAAAACCTGTGATGAATTTTTCCTTTGGGCTAAATAAATTCATTAGCCGCCTCCAGGACAACAGGCTGTGGTGTTACAGAGGCTGACATGCTGTGAAGAGAAAATGAAGACATGGCAGCTAATGGAGTAGGTCATGTGACCAGCAGTCAGCAGTAATATGGAGCCGGCCTATTATCAGTGATCAGCGCAGTGATGTGTCCAATGAAATGTTAATGAAAAGACATCAAGTGCGGGTGAGTGATACAATGTGGGGAGAGTGTTTCCGACATTTTTGTACTATGTGAAGTTCAGTCCGCATGTTTGAAGAATACCTTAGCAGTTATACTTAGAGGAAACTAAAGGATAGGTTCAAATCTATCTTAATACAACACTCATATGTCATGTACTGTAAGTTTAGAAATGTCTTCATAAAGGCTCCTTTACATTGTACAATTTTAGGCAAGGGATGTGGTCATCAATCTAAAATGTGGTCCTATAGATTTCACTATAAGAAAAGTTCACTGAGCTTCGGAGGTTGAAAACAGCCTGAGGCAAAATTCTGTGCAGTGTCAGAAATTTCGAATCAA